TATCGATCAAACAATTTCAAATTATTTAGCTGTATTTTGTTTGGTGCATTAAGGTGAGAGTTACAGGGCGTTAATAATGGAAGTGAACAAAGAGAAAATTCGGTACATTTAAAGCCTTAACAAAGGCGAAAATGCCGATAAAAATGTCGATAAAATCGGAGAATTAACCGTCATGTTAGCAGTCGTAATATCGTCCAGGAGCTAAAAATCTACCATAATCTTGTTATCGTTTTCCGTTCTACTTGCAAAACGTTTTTTAGACTAGGTGTGCTTGAGATGTTATGGCTTTTAATATTTTTCTCCAACATACTCCATAAGTTCTTTATTGGATAAAATCAAATAAACCATCAATTCTGGAACGATTTGAGACGAGTGTTTGGGGTCATTATCTTTATAAAATTGAAATGTTGTCCATAATCCGAATTTGTCAGCACTACATTTCAAATAATAGTTTTGAATGTTTAAATAATAAATCTTATCCACAACTCCTTCAATAAAATCGAGATTCTTACTCCGTCAGCGCTTATACAGCCCCATGCTTTACGGTCGGATTTGTGTGCATACCTTACTTCGAACTGCGCCATACCTTACTTCGTCCTCAGGTCCAAATAAGTTGAATTTGCCTGACATTTCTCTGCAATTTCAGCAAGTTTAGGCCATTTGTCGAAGTAACCAGTTTTCGTCTCTTATATTGAATAGTTTTTTTTTTCCCGCTGGTATTCTGTTTGTTGCAAATTCGATTCTCGGTTTTGTGCCCCAATATATTTTTTTAGATTGTGTAATATTGAGTATTTCCACTATTTCCCGTTTAGATTTTCTAGTTCAGCATGGTGAATAACTAATTTTTTCTCGACAATCGTTGTGTGGCGTACCATGGTCTCGAATTCTAACGATGTCTATCCAGATAAGCAAACTCACGGGTAAAGTGTAAAAAAATCAGTTGCAATATTTAAGTTGATATTCCATGAGAATATTGAATTTTAAACGTTATTAAGTTGTAAATAATACCGGTGGATACTTTTCTCTGTGAGTTTGCAATTGCTTTTGTTTAACACTAATTATTTTTTCATATTGAATATCATGGCATAATTACAGAAGGTCGTCTCATTTTCGAATTTTATGATGACAAACCTTTATAATTTGAAACTCATTTATAAATTTTAAATAATATGAAAAATGTCGACCGGCATATTTTCAATAAATTTAGTAAAATATATTTTCTAACCTGAACATTGCTCTCAAGGTTTAACCATGGTTGTTATTAATTTTCGCTTAAAAAAATAATAAACTTATATTCATTAATGAAATAACTTTTGACTCAGTGTATATCATTAAACCAATAGAAATCGTATTTCCCAATTTCAGGATTCCAGCTCTATCAGTTCAACCAAAATTCAAATTGTACCAAATTTAGTGCACAAATTTTCAAAACTGCCTACGTACCTCAATTCTACAATGCGTTATTTGTTTTATTTCCAAATTTCAGAGGTTCAGCTCTATCGGTTTCAGAGTTTCAGCTTCCATCGGTATCGATTATAGTACCATTTAGTACTTTTTGTACAAAGTAGTACTTTAAATATAAATATCCAAAAGTATCTACATATTCCAATCCTACACTCCGACGGTAATGTTAATTTTTAACTTTAATTTAATTTCAAATTTCGGGTTTCCAAATCTATCCGTGACTCCAAATTCAAATTGTACCAAATTTAGTTCCGTTTAGCACTTTTCGTATACATGAGTACACACTTCAAACACCACCTCAAACTGACCCATGACATAACTATCTACTTTGGCATCGTGTTATAACACTGTGCGACACAAAAATGTTTCAGGGGTTCTAATGTACCAATTCTGTTTAGTTGGAGTCCCTGGACCACGAAAATACCTTTAGTTTTTCTGGGTCACTTCGAAAATTAATTTTATAACGGTAAATATAGAGAAAAACGTGGTTTCATGGATTTCCCATTTGAAACTTAAATAACTTATTTACTTTATAACGGATTTATATTATTCTTTTTTTTCTTTCGAAGAGTACAATTTTTTCTTTCAAACAATATATATATATTTGGTAAATCGGTTGAGGATTGGCTGAGTTACAGCGGTTGAAATGTGAAAAAATACGCATAAAATGACAAAATTTATTTTTCTTCGGACTGTACGATGAAATTGTGATATCAAGCCATATAAGTTTTATTATATTGCGGGGAAGAAAATTAAATTAGCTTTCGAAAATGGTAAAAGTCAAAGAAATCGGTTAAAAAATGGATGACTTATACACATTTTTGTATTGATTCTATACATGAGTATAGCTGGGATTTACTGTTACCTTTTATTAGTGTAATATGTGGTGTCATATGTTTCCAATTTTTTCATAAATTCAGCTTTCAAAATTTAATTGAAAATATCTTCCTTCGAAATATACGCATATCATGTGTTCAGTGGGAAACATTGCTAAATCATTTATAATTATAAATATTTTGAAGTTCCCTGCCTCTAAAGCTTATAAATATAAGTTGTAACAAGCATGGTTTAATCTTGAGAGAAAGGTGCAGCTTTATTTTGTTTAATTTATTGAAAATATGCCAGTCGACATACATAAAATTTTATGGAATTTATTCAAGGCACATATATTAGGTAGTCGCATCGGCGTATTACTACAACAAAGCAATTTTTTTGGTAACATAATATGTCAAAATTTGTAAACAAGGCAAATAAAATTTAATTCGCCTTGGCATTTCAAAATTTAGGCAAATTTAATTCAACCAATTAGAACGAACTATTTTAATACCCTACACATCTATGTTAAAACTATGTATTGCCTTAAGAGTTTGTAGCTGCACTACTCCTACTCAAATTTTTGTCCGTCTGTCCATTATAATTTGTAATCTGATTATCATAATCAGAATCAAATGGTGATTGAAAAAATTATCTTCTGAAAACACAACATTAGAACTACTTTGAATAAACGATTTTGGTACAAAAATTAATTAATTTTTTAAGGCGAATTAAAAATTACAACAATTTGTTTTGACATTCAATGTTACAATCAACTGGGTCGATGCGACTACCTAAATACATCTACATTGGAATTTATTTTTCTTTTTATTTGAAATTGACATATAAATTCCACATTAAAAAGGGTTGTCATTATTAATTTCTCAAATGAGACTACATTCCATAATTCGCTACGAAATTGTAACAAATTTAATTTGAATTTTCAAATACGGCTTGGTACATCTATCCTACACTCCGCCAATGACTTTCATTCCAAATTTAAGAGCTCTAGCTCAACCGCTTCGCCAAATACAAACTGTACAATATTTAATACTTTTCGAGCCGTTCTAGTACGAATTTGAAAAAAAAACTAAGCATTATCTGACACCTTTGGACTAGGAGTGAACCGTTAATGAATCTTTACTCTTTTATTAAGGGGACCCCCCATTCTCGGGGTCAAAAAATTTGTTGATATAATTCGAATCTACACTGATTAAAGAATGTCTCTACAAAACTTCAAGTGAAAATCTCAAGAACTCTTGAAGATATAGCCGATTTATTGTGTCAGCATCAAGTGACGGCTGAAGGGCTTCTAAAACTTTAAACGCGTTTTTCTCTAAACATTTTTTTGCGAATGGCGGGCACGATAACTCAAAAACTAATAATCCAATCGGTTCCAAATTTTGCAACGTTTCTCTGGGAGTGTATAGCTCTCGTATGAACTAGGATAAAGCCAATCGGTGAAGATCTTCCTTATTTTTTAACTTGGTTTTTGGTAAAAAAGGTCCACCATTTGTTAATTTTAGAGCGTTGGAATTTTCGGATTCCGATGTTCCAGTGAGGAGTTATCATGCCCGCCATCAAAAATAAGGACTTTTCTTTAATTACAAAAAACAACAACAATACAATAACAAAAATTTTTTGTAAATAATTTTTCTTCTCTTTTAAATCTTCAATTATATATGTACAAAGTTACAAACCTTAACAAGCGTTGGTATGGATTTACCAGCCCATTGAAAATCTTGAAAAATTAAAATCGTGAAAGGGGGGGGGGGGTTCCCTTAAGTCAGTCAATCACTTTACTCTTTTATTAATATATATTTATTTAATGTTTAATTTTCTTGCTATTATCAAGAATAAATGAAATGATTAAAAAAAAGATTAAGAAAACAAATTAAGAAATTTTCAAAAGTATGTGATGACAAAAATAATATTTAATAATAATTAATTTTTAAGTGAGTTATTATTACTCTTTTATAATAATTAATATAACATTTTCAAATAATACTGAAAAAATAAGAAATACAAATCTATATTTTACAATTAGTGCAAATTAGATTTATTAATAGTCGATTCTTTAAATTATTTAAACAATTTGGTTAAAAAAGAAAACTAGAAACCCACACATAGCTAATCAACATTATGCTATTGTTTAATTTCTTTCTTAAATTTTGTTAAATTAAAATTATATAAATTAAATTTCAATTTTATACATTAAACATTATTGGTCTGTTCCCGTACTGCAGGAATCTACTAGTTTTTACTATTTTTGTCGATATCATAAAGGAAAATTTGTTATCGTAGTAAAACGTAGTAGATTCTTGCAGTACGGGAACAGGCCATATATGAATTCTATCGAATATTTCAAAGTGTTGCAAACGAGTAACAATTTCGTTTCTTTCAAAAATTAACAAATTTTAAACAAATATCCGTTATACAAAAACACCGTAATCGATAACAAAATCGATTCCAATTAATTCGAATTGATTCACCGCTAAAAACAAACAAGTTGTTTTCAACATTTTATTGATTCTGGCCAGCATGGCATCTCTCTCCACCAAACAACTGATAAACACATCCATGAGATTGAGATGTGTGTAACCCACCAATCAACCAACCAACAGCAACAACCTATCAACAGTTGTTTTAGAACTAGCCATTCAAATAGATAGTTTCTCTAAGCTTGTATACGAAAACAAAAAACTCCATAAAATACGAATACACACAACAACAACATGGTGTTAGATTTGGCTAAGAAAACCTTTTTCCTTGTAACTGGTGCTTCCCGTGGCATTGGCAAATGTATGGCCATTGAGGTGGCCAAAAAACTCCAAGCTGGCTCCGTAATTGTTTTAATGGCACGCAATCAAGTGGCTTTGGAAAAAACCAAAACAGAAATTGAATCTGTGCGGCATGACGTCACAGTGCTAGTATATTCCGTGGATTTGGGTAAAGCCAAGGTCGAGCATTTCCAAGAACTGTTAAGTGATTCCCTAAAGAAATCCAACACCAGTAGCTGTGATTTTGAAAAAGCTTTTATTATACACAATGCCGGTACTGTGGGGGATGTTTCGAAAGCTGCCAAAGATGTCACCGATACCGATGTTTGGTCGGATTACTATCACACAAATGTATTTTCCACAATTGCCCTGAATGGGGAGTTTTTTAAAGTATTCGCCCAAATACCGAAATTAGTCATCAACATAACATCGTTGTGTGGCATTGAACCCTTCGCCTCGATGAGTTACTATTGTTCGGGCAAGGCGGCAAGGGAAATGTATTTCAAGGTATTGGCGGTGGAAGAACAAAACACCGATACATTGGTACTCAACTATGCTCCTGGACCTATTGATACGGATATGACCATTGTCATTCAAAAGGAAACAATTAATAAGGATCTGCAGGAGGCATTTAAAAGTCAACGTGACAGTAAAACGATGCTAACCACCGAACAGACCACAAAGAAATTCATTCACATATTGGAAGAAGTTGAATTCAAATCTGGTGCACATATTGACTATTTTGATTAGTGGCGAATGGTGGTGGAGTGAAGTGAAAGTCGTTCACAAAACGGCATTTGACCGAATAAAGTTATAAACATTGTATATATGTATGAATGTATGTTTATCTGTAGTACAACTTGTATGTAACTTGTGTGCTCAAATTGTTTAATAATACAAAGAAAAAATTGGTAATAAACAAAACAGGAAAAACAAGTAGCAAGTTTGGTTATTTATTCGCATGTCAAATTAAAAGTAATAATGCATAGTAAATATTTGGAAAATAAAAATAATAAAAACTGAATTTAAAATTAATCAGTTACAATATTATGGCTATATTTTTTACATTACCATAAGATAGAGGTTCAACTTGCAATTCCGTCTGAATATGAACCTCTGAATAATTCCATAATATATGTATTCGGGAATGTTATATAGTCATTATTATTGAAGTGCCGTACAGTGGTAGACTGTCAAATATAGAATATTAAAATATATTTTTTGGAATACAATTTGGAGTTAATTTACAAATGTACGCCCGGCTGTTTTTATACCCTCCCCCATATTATGGAGGTTACATTAATTTTGTCATTCCGTGTGTAACTCATCGAAATATTCATTTCCGACCCTATAAAGTATATATTCTTGATCAGGGTAAAATTCTAAGACTATATAGCTATATCGGTCTACGTTTAGACATAGCCCCCAAATAAGGATACCACCCAATTTTCGGTATTTTGGGATTCTTGAACGCGTTTTTCAACCGAATTCGCTGAAATTTGGTACATTGGGTTCTTTTTGGGTACCAAATGTCTTCACTAAAAATTATAAATATCGGTCCACTTTTTTTGGTAGCCCCCTTATAACGGTACGCCCCAATTTACGGTATTTTGGGGGTTTTAAGCGCGTTTTTAAACCGAATTCGCAGAAATTTAGTACAATGGGTACCAAATTTCTCCACTAAAAATTATAAATATAGCTAAATTTTTTCGGGTAGTCCCATATAAGACAATTTTTGGTATGTTCCCTATATTTTTATTTCAAGTATCTTTCGGTATACTTATGGTGGAGGGTATCCAAAGTTCGGCCCGGACGAACTTAAACCTTTTTCACTTCTTTTTCATTTCAACTGATACAAATACATATAAGTTTAATCGGTACAAAAAGCATATTGGGCTATTTAAAAAAAGCGAATGAATATTGATAATTCCTGGTAGAAAGATGTGCCACCCAATCAAACCACATAATAGCAACATACAGCCAAATCGGTTTAAAATCGTACAAAAAATCCCCAAAACTCCAAAAAGGTGGGGTGGCGTTATATGGTGACTTTCGTAAAAAGTTGACTAATATACCAAATTACTCAACATACCAAAGTACGGCCAATTTGGTTGAAAAAAGTGTCAAAAATACCCAATAAGGGGGCAATACCAAAATGTGGAGCAATATATCCCATTTTCAATACCAATCATACCTATGAATAGTTGCAATGTTTGTATGTGCAAAATTTCAAAGACTTGCGGCAGGTCAAGGACCACCATAAGGTAAAGGGCATACTAAATCCAGTAATTTTTTCCTTTACGGTTTTTGATATACTCTCCCATACCATAAGCTCGATGTTGTTGTATAGAGATTTCAAAGGAATACTAATATGTTTACCAAACCTAGTTTAGGACCCTCCCTCACAGAGGTTCGAACTTGCAATTTTTTTTATGAAACGAAAATTTTTACAAAACATGCATTATATGTAAATATGAGGTCTGTAGATTGTAAATCTGCCTGCCAAAATTTCTTAATATCGGTCCACATTTTCTTATCGTTTCGAGTGTTGGCCCAAGAAAAACTTATTTTTAAAAAATTCCCGATGGCGTTGGTTCTAGAATAACTATTTTTTTTAAGAATCCACACTTATTTACACACGAAAACTAATTTTTAAGAATCCACGCTTATTTACCCTTGAAAACTAATTTTTTAAGAATCCACGCTTATTTACCCTTGAAAACTATATTTTAAAAATCGACGACTGACTTACTCCCCGAAAAACTTATTTTCAAAAATCCACGCCTGTCTTATTCCCTGAGAAACTTATTTTTTTTATGAGACTTATTTTTAAAAATCGACGACTGACTTACTCCCTGAAGAACTTATTTTTAAAAATCCACGCCTGTCTTATTCCCTGAGAAACTTATTTGTTTATGAGACTTATTTTTAAAAATCGAAGACTGACTTACTACCTGAAGAACTCATTTTTTAAAAATCCACGCCTGTCTTATACCCTGAGAAACTTATTTTTTATGAGACTTATTTTAAAAAATCGACAACTAACTTACTCCCTGAAGAACTTATTTTTAAAAATCCACGCCTGTCTTATTCCCTGAGAAACTTATTTTTTTATGAGACCTATTTTTAAAAATCAACGACTGACTTACTCCCTGAAAAGCTTATTTTTAAAAATCCACGCCTGTCTAAGTCCCTGAAAAACTTATTTTTAAAAATCCACGCCTATCTAAGTCCCTGAAAAGCTTATTTTTAAAAATCCACGCCTGTCTAAGTCCCTGAAAAACTTATTTTTAAAAATCCACGCCTATCTAAGTCCCTGAAAAACTTATTTTTAAAAATCCACGCCTGTCTAAGTCCCTGAAAAACTTATTCTTAAAAATCCACGCCTGTCTAAGTCCCTGAAAAAACTTATTTTTAAAACCCCACACCTGTCTAAGTCCCTGAAAAACTTATTTTTAAAAATCCACGCCTGTCTAAGTCCCTGAAAAACTTATTTTTAAAAATCCACGCCTATCTAAGTCCCTGAAAAACTTATTTTTAAAAATCCACGATTGTCTAAGTCCCTGAAAAACTTATTTTTAATAATCTTCGCTTGTCCTAGTCCATGAAACCCATATGTTTAAAAATCAACTCCTGTCTTAAGCCTTGAAAAACTTATTTTTAAAAATCCACATCTGTGTTGAAAAACTTATTTTTAGTGGAACCCTCAATTTTCTTTACTTTTATGATTCGAAGTGACTGCAATATGGGATTCCGGAACCTTCACACATAGTATATTCAATATAAGTCAATATTCAAGTTTTATCTGTAGTTGAGATTTCTCCTGTCCGCAATTTGTCACAACATAGCCCCCATACAAAATTTTCGTTATGTTCCCCTCGCCGTCGATCTTGTATGTTCGGTCCCGATCGATCTTAACGTTTATTCTTATTCATATTCAATTCATATGCCAAATGACAAACCAACTGCGATTTTATAAAAGGTGATACTTAAATATAACGGTCCATGATTGTGTTATCGATAAGTGGCAAGTAATTATATCGATATGGCAGCATTGCTTTCTTTTTCTTTTTTCTTGCAATTTGCCGGTACGAGCACTTGTTGGATTAAAACATTAATTTTATAAAGTTGTGCTCTCATTTATATAAGTGAATTTCGAAATCTAGTGAAATTGAAAATATATAATATTAAAAATAAGTGCATTAACAATTTAATTAGTACGTGAATTTCCATTTCAAACAAGGTAAGTAAAAAGCTTTCTCTCTATTCTGTAAATTGAGTTGATATTACATCGCGCTTGGCAACTCTCCAAGAATGACCCTCAAAACAAAACAAAAAGGGGTTGGAGTTTGCAAGTGGTTTAATTGGTGGTGGTAGTCGGAATCAAACAGGTTGTCACAGAAAACCGAAAGTTAAAGAATTCCATTATGGTCTTGGATCTAAATACGAAAACCTATTTCCTTGTAACTGGTGCCTCCCGCGGCATTGGCAAATGCATGGCCATTGAAGTGGCTTGCAAATTGAAAGCTGGTTCGGTGATTGTTTTGGTGGCACGCAATAAAGAGGCATTGGAAAATACACAAACAGCTATACTGGCCAAACGTTCTGACGTCACAGTCCGCATCGTTTCTATTGACCTTTCCAGTGCTAAAGCTGAAAACTTTCAAAAATTGTTCAGTGATTCATTGGCACAAAGTGCAACCAAGGCCAGCGATTTTAAAAGGGCATTTATTATACACAATGCCGGTACAGTGGGTGATGTTTCCAAAAAGGCCAAAGATATAGCGGATACTGAAGCATGGACTCAATATTATCACATGAATCTGTTCTCTACGATCTCCTTAAATGTGGAATTCTTTAAAGTGTTTGCCGAAGTACCAAAATTGGTGGTCAATTTAAGTTCCAAATGTGCTGTCGAACCATTTGATTCAATGAGTTTCTATTGTTCCGGCAAGGCTGCAAGAGAAATGTATTTTAATGTTTTGGCTGTGGAGGAAAAAGATACAAATACATTGGTCTTGAATTACGCTCCCGGTGCTATTGACACCGATATGACGGTGTATGTCCAAAAGGAAACGGTAAACAAAGATTTACATGAGGCATTTAAGAGTCAGCGGGACAACAAGACGATGCTTACTGTGGATCAGACAACCGCCAAGTTTATTAAGATTTTGGAAGAAGTTGAATTTAAAAGTGGTGCTCACATCGATTATTGGGATTAGGAATGAACAACAAATGGAATTTGTTCATCACATTGTTTTTTAATGGTTGTACTTAGTATATTACTTATTGGTGCTTCATTTTTCCAGTTATATACATGTCTTATATATAATACTACATACATACGTATGCTCAATATTGTGCTCAAATTTTGAATTTAATTAATAAATGTATTGGACTCCATCCATAACCGAATAATTTTATAATACCCTGTAGAAGGCCAGAACGTCTGCCATAGAAGTCCAGTAAGTCTTATAGACAAGAAAGTATTTTCATAGAAGACCTGAATATCTCCTAGAAGAAGAACAACAGATCTTCGAATCGAAGACCACAAGTTTTTTTCCTTGAAGACCAGTATAAAATGTTCTTATCCTAGAAGACCAGAATGTTTTCTCATAATAGACTTGAAGTTCTACGTCTTACAAAAGATCAGAGGATTGTCAGTGATTACCAAAAACCAGATTTTTTTATAAATACCCAGAAGGTCTCTTCATACATGACCAGGTCTTCGTATAGATGACCAGAAGGTCTTCATATAACAGACAAGAATATATTCACATAGTCTTCTCCTTTAGAGCAAGAAAACCAGAAAATATTTTAGATATTCAGGAGGTTTTCTCCTGGACAACCTGAACGTCTTCTCCTGTAAAACTAAAAATATTTCTCCTAAAGAATATCAGAAGGTCTTCAGAAATAAGACCAAAGGACCTCAAGGTCTTCATATAGAAAACCAAGAAGTTTTCTCAAGACCAGAATGTGTTCTCCTAGAAAACCTGGGAGTCTTCTCCTCTAAGAGCAGAATGGTTTCTCCCACAATACCAGAAAATTTTGTAGAAGGCCCTAATCAAGAACAGGAAACAGAATGCCTGCATAAAGTAGACCAAAAAGTCTTTGTAAAGAAACCCAGAATGTATTCACATAGAAGCCCAGAAATTATTCTTATGGAAACCAGAATGCCTTCCTATGAAAGACCCAAAGGCCTTTATATAGAAACCTGTAGTTTTTCTCATAGAAATTAATTCTCCTAGAATGGCTTGAACGTTTTCACAGAAATTTATAGAAGGTCCTTTCGAAAAATGTACAGAAGGTCTTCTTATAGATGGCCAGAAGATGTTCTATTAGAAGTTCGGAAGGTCTTCTGAAAGACGACCAGAAAGTCTTGCAGAACATCGAAAGGTCTTCTTGCATAATTTCGGCTTATCTTCGTATAGAAGATTGGAAAGTTTTCGTATAAAATATCGGAAGGTGTTCCCTTATAGAGTATCAGATCTTATAATGAAAACTTTCGAAAACTATCCTTTCAGTCTCCTCTTCTCCATCAGATACATCGAAGTCAAGGAGTATTCATTTCAAAAATATAGTTTTATTTATTAGCTAATAAGAATAATAATCCACAGCATACCAAAACACTGGGTAAAAAAATTTCAACGGTTCAATGCTATAAAACTCGCCATCTATCAATTTCCATAGTAGTGCTACATTAAACTCTATTTCGGACTAAAAGAAATCTGCCGCTCGAGCACGTTTAGTTGTAGGAATATTCAGCAAATCATCCGTTAGAGTTCCACCGGTGGCACTTAATGTTGATTCTATATTTGCTACTGAAACCTTGGGTAAAGGTTTTGGTGAGGCTTTTACCGCAGAGGACTTCTTAACACCAACATCTGGTGTACTCTTGGTGGCATTTGGTTTTGGTGTCACCTTTAGTTTGGGTGTTCTCAACGGAGATGGTGTCAGCATACTGGGCGTAGAGCGTATACCCAATTTCATGGTGGCTAAATTTCGGGCAGCTGGTGACATTGATGCTAAACGATCCATATTCGAACGTATAAAGGGTGAAGAGATATTTGTGTGTGCCGTTTCTTTTGCTCGGCGTTTTTGGGCACGCATTTTCTCTCCAACCTTTTCGGCTAGGGCTAAAGCTATTGTTTCACGGCGGGAATTTTCATTGATTTTAAAGGATGGGCCAGTATTGGGACGCACTGGAGTATCTGAGCCATCCAAACGAAAGGGTGTGCCCTCAATTTCACCCCATGTCATTAAAGGGGAAAATGCTTCGCCAGGTCTGGGGGAGGGAGTTTTGAGTAAATCAAAACGATTAATTTGTGGTGCCATGGGGTTACTTGTTTCACCCACAATTGATAGCTCAGAGTTGGAATCTGTTGTGGATCCCGTTTTTGGTTTCGCCTTATCATCCTCCTTAAATGGGGTGGTGTGTAACCGAGTGGCACTGTGTTGTATTACCTGACGACGATTTGCCATTTCTATTTTCTCTTTTTCTGTCAGTTCTACACCTTCAGGTGTATACATGATGGAATTTTTATTGGTATAATTCCACGTCTCTATGCTTCTCATGGGATCGGGTTCTTCAAATTGTTTTTCTATTGAGGGTAGTGTTAGGGCTCTTGCGAGTTTTTCTGCTGATAATTTTTCTTCATTATAAAGGACCGAAAATTTTTGCCTTAGCTTGGCATCAGCTGTATCGACAATTTGTTGGAAACTATCGTTGTCCTCACTGGTATAGGCTTGGAGAAATGAGTCCAACGAATGTTTATCAGCCACTGAGGTGGATTTTTGTGAAGATTCTGAGGTCATCGAACTGGCACCAGGTGTATCTGCTGCACTGTTACTTCGTGGTGTTCTCTCCCCAAAACTGGCAGGTGTTTCAAAGGTGGCAGGGGTCATTGCTGAAAACGAGAAGCTTTGGAATTACTTTTTGGGAAACATTATCTCATATACTTACATCTACTCCTCTCGCTGTGCTGTCTCCCACTGTATTTGGCCCTAATGGATTCCATGCGGGCATAGTCTTTCTGTTCCATTGCATCGAGGTATTCATTTTGTGCCTTCAGTTTCTCCAAATCGGGAAAGAAGTCGCGTTGTATAATTTTCGATATTTCTTCGATGTACTTCTCCTCGGTAAGAATCTTGGGTTTGGGTTTCTTTCGTATCACACCAATTTCGGAAGGTCTTTTGAAAGGCTCCAAAGCCTGTGGTTTCTTATTGAAATTGATCAGAGCCTGACTACCGGGAGTCGATTGTGGCGTTTCACTGGGGTTGGACATATTTTGTACTTCTTGTTGGCGGTGGCTATTTTGGAACTATTTTTTATCTCTTCATTGGACTTCCTAAACGTTTGTTGAAATAGTTCAAATGGGCTACTTCGTGAAATGAATGTTCGGAACTATTATCGAATGATATGAAAGGGGTGTTAAAAGAGAATGGCCGATAATGAACGTGGGCAACACAAATTGGATGATGTGTTTACGAATGAGTGTAATGCATAAGTGTGAAATTGAAATGCTTGTTTAGAAAGAGGCTTGGCGAAATGTGGAAATCAGCTGATAAAATACAGGGAACACGGAAGACGAATCCAAACATTACATTTTCGAATAAAAATTGAATTGAAAGAAAAAAATTATTAAGTTTGAAGTAAAAAAAGGGAGTAGAAATAGTAATCTTCTGTGGACTAGTGATTTAATTCTTTCACTAATCTTCTTTTAACATAGATGGAACAGTGCTGCCAAGTCTATGTGGACACTGTGTGACACAGTAAACATAGGGTGATTCAAATATGTTTCAATAAATTCTACCATAAAGTGGAGTGTGTATTAAACCACTCATTATGTTTGCAGGACATCGAAATATTCAGCGGATATACCATATATTTATATATTCATAGGGTAGAAAATCTTCATACCAAATGGTCTAATTTTTAGGGATGTTATCCATAAAACGTGACCTTATTATTCGGTATTTTAAAGACTTTGGACACTTTTTGATATTTTGGATTTACACGAAGTTTTGAATTGTTAGAGTTTAAAAAAGTAAAGCCCAATGACGACCATAAACACGGACAAAATATCACGTAGAGGATGGAGAGGCTTCTCAACAAAAAATCGAACTTCATATGCGACAATTTGCAATAACACCACGTTGTTTATGTTCAGTGGACTAAGATCTTGTCTTAACTGAAACTGATAAGCCTTGAGATACAAGTCTTTATTAAAAAAATCTTCCACAGCACCCATATAAATGTCCCAATCAATTTCGATATGTCGAAGGACCGGAGATCCTAATTTGGTATTTTGTTTTCTCAGAGGATATAAAACTTTGCTACTTTTACAGACAGTTAGAAACTAACCTCACATGCGGATGATTGTTCTATTACATCTTCTGGTGTTGTTGAAATCGTAAATAGAATAAACACATACCTAGCCTCGGTTTCATATTCAGGCAGGGAAGAATTCGCCAACAAATTACTAGACAATTACAAGTAATCAGAGAAAGTTTTATTCCAGCGCCCCAAAACCTTAAAGTTCTCCCCATCATTCTCCAAGCTTACTGCAGTCCGCTAAAAAACCAATAATGAGATAAAATGCTCAAAGATATCTAAGGCACTATGTGGGGTAAAGACAAAGTGGTGCTTCCGACCACCTGGCTCCAACGTCAAAAATACGTGTTGGTCAACCGACAGTTCCTGTTGAGATAAATTCTGCATATGTATACCAATTATATTGTCGTTCAAGATTCCTTCCCTTGACACATTCTGAAGACCATCAAGTGATATAGCAACGACAATCAATAAGTCACAACATATGACACTATATACTATATCATCCGAACTCATAACCTCTGAAAGTCATACTTCTCAAAAGGATTATTGCATTAGGGTCCAGCCCAGTCTCTCCGATACTTGAATTGCTGAAGTAATTTACCTGAAAATTTGACAAAAAAAGCTTCACTTCGGAAAATTTTCCTCGAAGTGGTCAACTTACTGAAGTCCGAAAAAGATTTCTTTATCCACTATTGTCCTACTAAGCGAATATCCTTGACATTGGCCTCTTGTTTAAATTTCATGTCTCTTAACTTCAGGGAAAGTATTTTGCTTTTGTCATTAAAAGATTTTTTAAAAGCCTACCACCACGAATTGACATTGCGGGTTGATGGAGTGTAATATATACCTCTAGCTGGAAATATTATTTTTTTATCATAGCCCTCATATAAAGGTCCTCCTACCAAATTTAAGGTATTTTCATTGTCCGACGAAATCGTTAATTTGCGATGGCGTTCTCGAAATGGACGGCAAAATAATAAATGTGCTAGGCAATATGTCCGATCAGAATAGAACATCAAATAAAACGTATTCGAATAGAACTTCAAAGCATATCTCCTGATGACAACCATAATGCGTGCTTACTTTATTCCTTGCCACAAAAATCCCTAGGAATTACACAAGTTGTCACGTCATTCCGGTTTGGTTGACATCATTTTCAACACTTCGATTACAAATTGGCCAGCTGATATATTTATGCACCACGCAAAATGATAAAACAACAACAACAGCAGCAGCAAAATAATAAACAAATCGTATGGAATGTGGTTGATCTTTGGATTTAGCAATGGCATCTGTAGCTAGTAGTTGGTCTAACGTGCCGCATGCCTTCTGCCATAAATGTGTGCAACCTTGTCATCGAACACATTAATAAAGTCGAATGCAGTTTGTGTTGCACACCAAAAGTGTGCGGAGTGGAGAATATAACGTGTGTATACACTCGGTGTTATGGGATGGGGGAATTAGATTTTCTGAATATACTATGACACAAAATCGAGCTCATGGTCTGGCGATATTGTATTAAGAACCCTGAAGAACAAACTCTCCATAGGTCAAGTTTTTGAGTTATGACATAATATTTTTTTTATTTGTAAATCTATAGTTCACGAGATTTAAATGAGATTAAATGTCTTCAGTCAAATCGTATGAGTAATATTTTTGTAAAACCCGACTGTCATGAGTCCTTTTGGTCGTCCTTTTCGTCATAAGAGACCTTCCTGTATTTGTAAGCTATTTTTCAATCTCCCGAAACCCAGTGTCGGAGCTATCCTAAGAAATATTCTCCACATCTGTAAAATACTACATGAATTTATTTCCTATTCTCTGGGGTGTTGCTTTTGTCAGAGTATATTTTTTTTTGCTGAGTTAGCTGTTGTTGTTGTTCCCTCTGTCGATGATTGGTATTCCTTTGAATTACGATCACTGCACCACGACGACAACGACGACGTTGAGAGCTAAGAGAAAAATGAGCTTCGTATTCAAATTGTAATTATCCTCATAATTTCCAATGAATCAAAACTTCAAATTATCTGTGGATCTCTTCATCCATCGTTGAGTTTTTAATGAAACAAGGAATTGATGAAATGTGTGGCATCAGAAAACAATGCTACGAATATTAGGGTGGGCAAAATTTACAACAACAAACATTTGTTTAAAATGAGGTATTTAAATAATGTGTTAAATATGAAACCAGTAAATACGTCGAGTTCGGCCGGACTGAATTTTTTAAGCCATCCACCATGATATTTAAAATACCTGAAATCGTTCGGAACTTTTATATGGGGGCTATGTCATGCTAAGTTGTTGGTAGGAAGATTTGACATCCAATGAGTACCAAAAATATGAAATTAGAGGTAATTCAATTAAAAAATGTTTTTATCTGACTTACCCAATGAGAATTTAAAATACTAAATGATAGCCAAATGGGTTGGTGCCCAGTAGGAATTAAAAAAAGAAAATATGGAACTATATCCAATTTGTATAAAAATGTGTCCAAATTCTGAAAATTTGGAGGCGCTGTTATTTGAAAAGCACCACAAAAAGCGGACCCATATTTATTTTTAGTAGGGTGATTTGCTACCCCACCAATATACTAAAATACAGCCAAACGTTCGCAAAACGACGAATTAGGGGGGCCATCTGCCGAAAAGCCAAAAAGTACAGCCATTTGCCGAAAAATAATGGGGAAAAAATAATGTGGATTCATATATTCCATTTTCAATAGGTTCGTTCCCGTACTTTTTGATAGTAAAGCTAGTAAAAGAGCGAACTATCAAAAATTACTCTCACATACAAGAATTGCGCAAAAAGTAAAGGAACGGAAAATAGTTAAAACATGAAGAAACGTCCAAATCAAAAATTTCATCAGTTAAGGACAAAAAAAGACTACAGAAACCTAATGCACACAAAGAAACCAAAAATTAAACGGCGTCCATTGTGTGATTTTGATAATATTAATAGTTATTTTTTATTTGCATAATTTATAGGAAAACATTATCGAATATTTGGAAGTGGAGTTTCCGACGACTCCAAGCCCGGAAAGGCTTACATGGCTAGACGCTCCCATAATGGTTATGCTATTGAAATTGGTAGATATTTTGATTGCATTGTTTTAGCGCATTGGAACAACAAGATATGGATGAAGTCAAGTTTAGGGGCTCCACTCGGATCATTTTAAAATGTTTACCGTTAGTAGCCCTCCTTGGAGCTGATTACTGTGATATCCCGAGATATTGGCCTTGAAATTTCGGAACATATGCATGTTCCCAACCCAAGTGTTCATTCTATAGAATCTTCATCTGAATATTCTGCCAGCCATTCATCTTCACTATCCTCCAAAAGAGAATAAAAATCTGTTTGTCCATTTTTAAATTTCTTATTTGGTTTTATTTTCAAGCAAATGTGTGTGCGTGTGTCCCTTTTGTTGAAGCGCTAACTTTCATATGCTTTATTTCGGACTGTATATCTCTGGCAATCAAATTCACAATTTACTACATTTACTATTTCGTGCTAGGTCAAATTGGTCTTGCAGAAAATAGGAGAAGAGAACGCCATTTTGGTTTTAACTCTCTTAAATTTAACTTCAATTTTTCCTACTTTTCGATGTAAGGGAACGCTTTTCTAGCAAAAATTCCAAAACTAGTACAATATAGTACTATATAGCAGGTTTGGGAACACAGCTAATATTAAACATCCTGGGAGTAGTGACAATGTATTTAGAAATTTTGAAAGCTCAATCTTAAAACTTGCGATGATTTTATCTGGCAGATAGACGAGTATGGCTAAATCGTTATAAAACTTTATTCCGATCAAAAATATATTTACTTCGAGGTGCTACAAATGAAATGACAAATTTCCCCTTCCAACACCACTCTAATGTATCACTTTTTGTTTTATGTTGTTATGTCAAATGTTCGAGTGGATATTGTTCCTACTTCGTATTGTTCTATTTCTACTCCGTAATTAGCTGATGGTGTTAATTGAAGTGCAGGAGTTGATAGTTTTTAATGATTTCTGGCGTACGACAATTAACTATTTTGTTATTATAAATTTTAAGGGTCGTCTTCCAAAAAAGAAAAAAAATATTCTTTAAAAATCCACGCCTATAGCTCTGATGGTCTTGTAAAAAATATTCTTTAAAAATCTACGCCTATAGCTTTGATGGTGTTGTATAAAATATTCTTTAAAAATCTACGCCTATAGCTTTGATGGTGTTGTATAAAATATTCTTTAAAAACCTCGCATATGGCTCTGATGGTCTTGTAAAAAATATTCTTAAAAATCCACGCCTATAGCTCTGATGGTGTTGTAAAAAATATTCTTTAAAAATCCACGCCTATAGCTCTGATGGTGTTGTAAAAAATATTCTTTAAAAATCCACGCCTATAGCTCTGATGGTGTTGTAAAAAATATTCTTTAAAAATCCACGCCTATAGCTCTGATGGTGTTGTAAAAAATATTCTTTAAAAATCCACGCCTATAGCTCTGATGGTGTTGTAAAAAATATTCTTTAAAAATCCACGCCTATAGCTCTGATGGTGTTGTAAAAAATATTCTTTAAAAATCCACGCCTATAGCTCTGATGGTGTTGTAAAAAATATTCTTTAAAAATCCACGCCTATAGCTCTGATGGTGTTGTAAAAAATATTCTTTAAAAATCCACGCCTATAGCTCTGATGGTGTTGTAAAAAATAATAAATCCACGCCTTTCTGATGGTGTTGTAAAAAATATTCTTTAAAAATCCACGCCTATAGCTCTGATGGTGTTGTAAAAAATATTCAATATTATTTGAGAAATCCACGCCAATATATCCGATGGTCTTCTAAAAATATTCTTTAGAAATCAACGCCTATATATCCGATGGTCTTCTAAAAATATTATTTAGAAATCCACGCCAATATATCCGATGGTCTTCTAAAAATATTCTTTAGAAATCAACGCCTATATATCCGATGGTCTTGTAAAAAATATTCTTTAAAAATCCACGCCTTATGGTCTTGTAATAAATATTTTTTCCAAAAATATAGCTTAATGTTGTTCTTAAAAAAATATTCTTTCAAAATCCATGCATGTAGTTCTGATGTCCTGCAAAATATTCTTTAAATTTCACGTCTCTAGCTTGAAGTTGTTCTGAAAAAAATTTTATAAAAATCCACGCGCATAGCTCTAAAGGCCTTCCTAAAAATAGTCTTTAGAAAACCACGACTATAGCCTCAAATTTTTAATCGACGATTATCGATATCGAAGCCCCATTGAAAAATGTTAATATAAACGTCATCCATGTCCTTCTTATCAATTGCATATTATTACCCTGAATTTTTATCAATATTATGTCAGTCGCCATATCAGAATTCTTTGAACTAAAACAAATATTGCCGATCGATCACGAATATTAGTATTCTCAAATTTCTCCACTCTTGACTAACAAAAAACAAAAATTATGAAAACAAATTCCCAAAAATATGCCAAAGGATACATTGGTGGCCCACTGAATGGATGGATGGATATCTGTTGAAGTGGTTACACAAAATTTATTATCCTCGACTGTAACAACAAACATCGACAAGTTATGTTTTGTCGATGATTCCTTCGAAGATAAATCGATGGAAAATATGAATGAATATTTTTTGTTGGGTGGCATCGAGCGATTTGTTTACAAAACATAAATCAGGCATCGTCGGTCCTTGTAAATGAAATCAAAGTTATTCTCATTTGTATGTGTACACCCTCGTCCTTGCGCGATATGAGCTAGGGGCGGGCGGTGAAGAGGATTCTGCGACAATTGGAATTGTGTCGAGTGGATGGATGTTCCCCGTTGTGTTGACGGTTAAACATTTTGAAATGTCGCAGTGCCACTGTCAAAAGGATATCACTTGTGTGTGCGCCTCTCTCGCTCACACACACTCCCACCTTACATACTCACATTCCCTTGAAGGTGAATAAATATTGTAATGCGGTAGGTAGTTTTCACGCTTAAATGTTCTCCACCGCCTTCGAGTGTTTGGTTATGGGCATGGAATGTCACTTTGTCATTTTTGTTTTTACAAATCTAAACAAACGAGCCGAAAGTGTCATATTTCGGAGGCAATTCATTCACTTTTTTTCGAATATCCTCTGACGTTTAGGTTTTAGACTAAACATTGGTTTTCTGATGTCTAGGCTAAATGTAACCACTTGAGATCGATTTTTTGTGATTTTTGTCAGGGATAAAGTGTAGAATATCTAGGGATGGGTCTGATATCTAACACGAATGCATGTTTGACTTATCGATTATGATCATGGCGATGTGTGAGTGAGAGTGTAATCACTTTCACAGAGTTTTATATGCGTGGGTTTTTAAAGAATATTTTCTCGAACTTCATCACAGCTATAGGCGTGGATTTTTAAGGAATATTTTCTCGAACTTCATCAGAGTTATAAGCGTGGTTTTAGAACAAATCATATTTGTCTTACTCTGAGTTATAAGCGACAAATTTTATAACATAGTTTGTCATGGCTCTGAAGAGCTATAAGCGTAGTTTTTTAAACAAAATATTACCCATTCACGTTTCATGCACGCGATTTTTGTTCACATACCAAAGTTTTGCGTTTTCAATCTCCTTATGTACATACATATGTATTCCCTACAGCATCTGGTATTACGTACAGTGTTACCATGTTTATTACACATTCTATTTTATGGGTTCTCTGCATTGCACCACCACCATTCCACTCCAAGTGGTTTCCCTTAAATGATCTTTGATGTTAGGAAGTCAAGCATACACCCATCCACTGCATTTTGTTTATAATTTTGGTTTAGTATAAATCCACAAATGTGCGTTTAAATTTCATAGAGCCAGTCAGGAGGACAGACAAACACGAGTCAGACATAACCCATCCCTAAAAAACCAAACATGTAAACATCTCAAGTGGTTTACGTATTTTATTGGTTTTCCCTTTCAGGCGCTGTGCTTTTTTTTCAACTCAGTCATGCGTTCAGCGAACGATTTTCTATGCTCCGCCTCCTGTTACAAATATAAAAAATGCTGACATTGTATTGAAAGTAAAACAAATTCCTTTGATGGGGGGTTAATCGTGTTATTTGGGGGAATGTGGCACGCGATACCTAATTTTGTTACAAAAAGATGGGGAATGTGCTGTTGTTACTTTGTGAAATGTAAAACAGGTCGATTCTGTTTTAAATCTGTCAATACCTTGGTAAAATAATGGGATGTTCCAATTTTAAGATCTTTTAAAAAAATAAAAATAATCATGATTCTGAATGCACACTTTTGGTCTGAAGGTCCATGAAAAAATATTCTTTAAAAAATCCACGATTATTGGTCTGAAGGTCCATGAAAAAATATTCTTTAAAAAATCCACGCTTATTGGTCTGAAGGTCCATGAAAAAATATTCTTTAAAAAATCCACGCTTACTGGTCTGAAGGTCCATGAAAAAATATTCTTTAAAAAATCCACGCTTATTGGTCTGAAGGTCCATGAAAAAATATTCTTTAAAAAATCCACGCTTATTGGTCTGAAGGTCCATGAAAAAATATTCTTTAAAAAATCCACACTTATTGGTCTGAAGGTCCATGAAAAAATATTCTTTAAAAAATCCACGCTAATTGGTCTGAAGGTCCATGAAAAAATATTCTTTAAAAAATCCACGCTTATTGGTCTGAAGGTCCATGAAAAAATATTCTTTAAAAAATCCACGCTTATTGGTCTGAAGGTCCATGAAAAAATATTCTTTAAAAAATCCACGCTTATTGGTCTGAAGGTCCATGAAAAAATATTCTTTAAAAAATCCACGCTTATTGGTCTGAAGGTCCATGAAAAAATATTATTTTAAAAATCCACGCTTATTGGTCTGAAGGTCCATGAAAAAATATTCTTTAAAAAACCCACGCTTATTGGTCTGAAGGTCCATGAAAAAATATTCTTTAAAAAATCCACGCTTATTGGTCTGAAGGTCCATGAAAAAATTTTCTTTAAAAAATCCACGCTTATTGGTCTGAAGGTCCATGAAAAAATATTCTTTAAAAAATCCACGCTTATTGGTCTGAAGGTCCATGAAAAAATATTCTTTAAAAAATCCCACGCTTATTGGTCTGAAGGTCCATGAAAAAATATTCTTTAAAAATCCATGCTTATCACCCTGATAGTCCTTGAAAAATATTCTTTAAAAAATTTAAGCTTATTGCTCTGAAGGCCCATGAAAAAATATTCTTATTGACTTGAAAAAAGTATTGCAAAAATCCAAGTAGAATTAAATTTTAAAAAATATATTTATTTTTAAGGTTATGTATAAAATAGAATATCGGAATATATAATTAATTTTTCATCGATTCTTCAGTCTCTTTTTCTAATCACTGGTTTGACATATCAGGGCAGCACTACGTTTTACCCAATGTGATGGCTTGATTTTCGTATTCAAAAATACTGGTATAACATAATTCGTTGAATGACCGGTCGTCGATAGAGTTCCTTTACGTTCGGCAGTCTTATAGAGGGGACTTTTATAACGATTCCCCTCCTTGAGGTCATAAATTGTGGTGGGGATGAGATAAATCGCCGGCATGGGATAGATTAAAACCTTTGGTAGCTGTTCATCTAAAATACGTTCTTGCCAATTCCAACGGGCACCTTCCAGAAACAGACCATTTATGTAGACACCATCATCTGGGGGTTGATCCCGATGATCAACATCCAAAACCTGATGATCAAAAGTCAGTGTGTCAATGGGTATTTTATATTTGCGG